GAATACTTAACTATAACACCTGAGAAATAAACTTTTTTCTACTAGTTTCTCCTGCTGGTAGAAATGGATGCCCACTCTAAGCAATTTACCATTTCTTTTGTCTCCGCCTTAAATATAAAATAGTTTATGAAGATGATATGAGATTCTACTATCATATTTTAGTCATAATGATTAACAAGTAAAAGCATCAATGATGCTTTCCTATAGTGTTTAGTGTCTACTCTTATAAATTATTTTTACATCATGCAATAGTTTTAGTTGTAATTCAATTACAAAAAAACGGATAGACAAAAGGCAAAAAAGAATATATACTTTGTGACCAGAAGGATAAATGAACCAATAATAAAAGAGGTTGATGGTGGTACACAGGTTCAAAATGACAAGCACAAACAAATAGTATTCTGACTCAATCAGAAACTAACAGATCACTTAAAAGTTACCTTTTGCTAAGTTTTGTTTACTTATTTATTAGAAATTATTTTTATGATTTATTGTGTTTTATAGAAAAGCTATAAAAATTATGGCTGCAAAAGATGCATGCCAGTCCAATTTTAAAATGAAGGATAGTTGCTTTTTACCTAAATTCAGTAAAATAAGATTTTAAAAAGTATTTACTAGTCTTCAATAAACTGCAACATATAAGAATTCTAGAAACATACACAGCTCTAGAAGTGGTTTTTCACTACAATTCATTGGTACAATGATTCCTAATTGAGACTCATGCTCACTTTTTAAGCTTAAAGAAAAATTAGATTAAGAATATGTAATTCATATCTAAATTTAGATGTTACATAAGTGAAAATAACTACTCTGTGTGTAAAACGCATATTGAATATAATGATTTCCTAAAATAATAAACCTAAAAATAATATTGAAGAAACTCATTAAACTGAAACGTTCTTGTCTAAAACTTCTTCAAGCTGTATGATTCTCAGCATTTCTTACCTTTTATTGGTAAGAAATATTTAAAATATAGCAGACTCGATGTTTAATTTTGGCAGGCACTGTAACCTTTTTTTAACCTTTCTTAGGGAACACTGACCCCTAAAGGTTCTAAATTTAAATAAGCTCCACAATTTTTAAAATCTAACTGGTATACAGATCTTATTTTTACCTACATAATTGTAAATATGTATTCTTAGGGAGGCATATTTATATGTAAATAAAATGCAAACTATTTTCATAGCATTATTGTGTACCATAAAGCCACTACACCATAGTTCTGCTAATAAAAACCACCAAGATTAATATATGAAATAATCAGCAATTTATAATGGTATTCCAATAATTATTCATAAGAGATTTCTTATCCCATGCCTTTTTTCTTATAACTAAGTAAATAAAAAGTAAATGCAAAAAAGGACTAAACAACCAATCATATAACAACTCATTGTTTCAGAGGTTGACTTTACATGAATATAAACTCCTTTGATTATGACATTTCCTTTTTTTTTCTTAAAATAAAACAGACAAAACATAATGCATAAATAGAAAGTGTTCACAAAAAGGCAAAAATATCATTTACTTCTTAAAAGGCCAAAAGAAATTATCAGTGCTCAACTTGGCAACACACATTCACATATACATTGTTTCTATCAACTTACAAAATACATTCATTCATGGTTTTTTAATTTTTTATTTTTTACACTACTTAAAGAACCATGGGGGCCAGGTATGGTGGCTCACATGTGTAATCCCAATTCTTTGAGAGGCTGAGGAAGGAGGATCGCTTAAGGCCAGGAGTTTAAGACCAGCCTGGGCAACATGAGAACGCCCCCTGCATCCATCCCCATCTCTACAAAAGAAAAAAAAAACTAGCTGGGAATGGTAATTTCTTAGGAGGCCTTTAAGGTAAAAGGATAGATAGCTTGAGCTCAGAAATTACGTAAGCCATGATCATGCCAATCTCAGCAATGTTTCTACAATAAAACTAGAAAAAGAATGACCACCTCAGCACTCCTTATAATGAAAAATTTGAGACAACACACAGGCATTATCTGTGTAACACAAGTCTTAAATAACCCCATTTACTTTTTTTTTAAAAAGTAAAATAATAAGAAACAAAAAAACTATTCATAAGAGTAGATTGTGAACAGCTGAGTAAGATAGAACTTTGAAGCAATTTGTGCTTTAAGATAACATAAAGCTTGCTATCAGGGAGATGACCACATGAGATTTGATTACTTATATATATATATCAGTTATCACAAAACTCAAAAGTGACTACATTTACCTGTTTAGCTATATTTCTTTTTTTAAATTATAGATTAATGGGGTACATATGCAAGATCTACACAGATCTATTACATGGTACTGAGGTCTGGGCTTCTATTGACACTGTCACCCAAATAGTGAACATAGTACCCAATAGGTAGTTTTTCTACCCTTGTCCCCCACCCTCTTGATAATGTTTATTAACACATCCTTATAAAAAGGAATGTCTTATTCCTATCTCCAATGTCAAAAATGTGTCTGTAAAAATGCAAATTTTTTCTTAATGATCTTTCAGTCACGTCTGTTGTAGTCTGTGCTTCCTGCAACCATCTATAAAACCTTCTTTTTCATAAGTATCTCAAGAGCTTCAGAAGCTCCTTCCTTAACATCTCTCCTTGTTATTTTACATGTGTGAGAGTAACTTCCTCCACAGCCTCTATCTCTTTAGATATAGTAAAAATAATTCCTTTGACTTCTTAAAGAGCCTTTGATCTCTAATTTGACAAATATGACTTTTACAGCAGCATGACCTGTGAATAGGGAACATACCAGGGCATCATCATTTGCTCTTTTTTTCTTATTTTGTATATAGAGTAAAATGTTTTTCAGCTCTTTAAAAATAGAATGTTTGTTTACTTACTTGGCTATTTGAATAAAAAACAGCTACAACAAATTAGCTCCCTACTTAATACCAACACATTCTTATCACAAACTTGAATATAAAGAGTCTCATGCCTGTAATCCCAGCACTTTGGGAGGCTGAGACAGGAGGATCGTTTGAGCCCAGGAGGCAGGAGAATCACTTGAGACCAGCCTGGGCAACATATTCAGACCTTGTCTCTACAAAAAAAAAAAAAAAAAATCAAAAGATTAGCTGGGCATAGTGGCACACTTGCAGTCACAGCTACTCATGAGGCTGAGGCAGGAGGATTTCCTGAATCTACGAGGTCACAGCTGTTGTGAGCTGTGATCATGCCACTTGTACTCCAGTCTAGGAAACAGAATGAGAACCTGACTCAAAAAAAAAGAAGAAGAGAAAGAGTGAACCAAAATTAAGTGTCACATACACTAACTATTAACTTTGCATTAAAAGTCTTTAACTATCTTACTCAAGTACTATGTAACATTGCTTTATATAAAATTTAATCAGTTATCTGGATTCTAACTCGTAAAACAAGCAGCCCAGAGTCACAAATAAGAAGGGTGATTACTAATGGAAGGAACAAACAGCAAGAAAATTCAAAACAGTAATGAAAATAAAATGCAGAAATCAGAAAAAGATACTCCAACAGCATAGCATCTTTCTATATCTCAAAAGAATGAATAATTGTTAGCTTATTTAGTACAATGATTATAAAACAGTTCCCAAAAGTGGCCTTTAACCTTCTAAAAATGTAACAATGTGGTGGATATATGATAAAAAGGAGTTTTGTTGGGAGAAGGAGAAACAAAAAAGACAGAGATGTATACAATGTTTTAGTAAGAATCCTATTTTTTAAATTATAAGATGAAAGGAAATAAAAAAGATGTACTAAGAACTTAAGCCTTCAGTTATATGTAATATTGCATTCAGAACGATTCATTTCCCAAGGAATCCAAATTTTTAACATATACTTTAACAGATCTTAAATCTCTCTCTCCCCCTCCTGTATGTGTGCTGCTCTATCTATCTATCCATCTACCTACCTACCTACCTACCTATCTCTTCTTCAGGCCATCTGTCAGTCTGTCTCTATCTTCAGACTGCCTACCTGTGTTTCTATCTTTCAGGTTGTCCCCCTCCACCTGTGCATATCTGTACCTTCTTCTCTGTCTCCCCCTGTGTCTCTGCCTCTGTATGAATATCTCTCTTTGTCTCTGTGTCTTTTTCTGTCTCTATCTTTAAATTTCTGCTATTCTGCCTAATATATTGGTTAGAACAAAATGCTTCATTCAGCTCTGACTCTCTCTGGCACCCTCTGACTCTGTCTCTATGTGGGTGTGCTTTGTGATGTGCATGTGTCTCTGTATACATCTCTGTATTTATGTGTCCCAATCTATTTCTCTGTGTCTTCTGATTTGTGTCTTTTTCCTCCATCTCCATATATATGTCTGTCTCTTTTTCATTCTCTCTCTCCCTCCTTGTTCTATACGTATCTGTTTCCCTAGCCTCTTTTTCTCATTCTAGTCTCTGTCTCTGTGTATGTGTTGTCCATCTCTGTCTCTGTGCGTGTGTGTCTCTCTGTGTGTGGAAGGGGGGAGGTGTATACATTCTCCATCTCTTTCACTGTATGTATCACTTCTCTCTTATGAGTCTTTCTCTGTACATAAGTCCATTCTTCTATCTCTCTGTGTGTCTCTTTTTTCCTGTCTCTCTTCCTTACTATACATCTCTCTCTTTCACTGTTTCCCTTACTCAGATACCTCTCTTTCTCTATGAGACTATGTGTACGTGTCTCTTTCTGTGCATATATGTGTCTGTTTCTCTGTATCTCCCTCTTTAATTATCTACCTTCCTATGTCTCTTTCTCTGTATATTTCTCTTTTTCTGTACACACATGTGTATCCCTTTCTCTGTGTGTATGTCTCTTTCTTTGTGTGTCTTTCTTTGTGTCTCTTTTGTAATCTGGAGGTCTCTTTGTGTGTGTCTCGAGTATGTGTATGTGTGTATGTGTGTGTGTGTGAACACAAGCACACGCATTTGTCTGCTTCTGTCTAATATACTGGTTAAAACAAACATACTTCATTCAATGCCTTGAACTAGCACAACACCTGGGGCTTGGTATTAATACCTTAAAAGTCCTTACCTTTTGACCAGTCTTCCATTTGTACTTCTGTTCTTGTTTGCTCTGGCAAGGTCTCTGGTTTTTTGCTCCAAGATTTGAAGCTAAAATAAAGCCAACTCTAGATAAATAAACTTAAAACAATATATCAGAACACACCTAGCCTTACCTTTGTTTAACAGAGAATTTACAGGATAAATAGTTTTCTAAAACATTTATAATAAGACAATTAACTGTATATTTCAACAGGTGAAATTAAATCTTTTTCTCAGAAAAAGGTTATTTTCTTAACACTTAAATTTTAGTAAATACTGTTCAGGTTAAGCTCTCAGATATCCTTGTTCCAAAGGAATTTAATTTAATTTTTTTTTTATTTTAAATCTTCTCCAACTATAACTTCAAACATTTATCAAAAGTATAATTTTTACTATATTTGCCATAAATATTATACCCAAAATTTCAAATTTATTTATTTGACTTTACTGTGGATATATTCACAGAAAATATTTTACACTTCTAAAAGAAATTTAAGAATACTATTCTAATATTTTAAAAAACATAAAGATCCTCATAAACTTATGGAATTATTGATATTTCTCTCTTGCATTTGTTTTCACATTAAACATGATAAAAATTACGCAAGTATATCTTTGCATGCTTTTAAAAGAATAAAATTAGATTTACCTCCCAGCTAGAACCCTGCGTTCTTTAAAAAGTCCTCAAATAAAGCTGTAGTAAGCTTCTCTTTTTCCAATTTTCTCTAAATATGTTGATCTGGAGTTGGCAGTCTTTTTCTAAGTTTCTCATTTACTTTTGGATTAGCTGAAAATATAGGAAGTTATTAATATCAAAGAAATATGTTTCAGTCAATGAAGCCATTTCCCTACATATTGCCCAAAAAGGTTAATAATAATTGCAGTATTTTAATAAGAGATTCATATAGCAAGACATGTAGAAAATACAGTCTTTAATAACCTCTGGAGTATTTTAAAACATGTCTTACAGGCATTAATGTGCTTAGTAATATACTATTTAAAACCATAATTTTATCCCTCTGCAATATACAGTCACTCTTCCTCATCATTTACCCAGCTAATGAATGCCAGCAATTAGTAAAATGTAATCCCATTGCACAATCATTTTAATGCTTTTAGCACTCAGAAAAGTAAACACCAAATTAATACTGCTCAAGCCATATCAGATCCTAGTTGGAAGCAAGCAATTATAGTTCAGCTCCTCAGGTGTAATTAAATGATTGGAATGATTTAGTTCCATAAATGCAAGTTAATTCATAAGCAAGCAACAAATATACTGGGAGTAATTACAAGAAACATTGACAGTCTAAGCAGGGCAAGTTCTTTTATGAGCCTGATGTAGTAAAATGCTGCCCTCTCCTGGGCATATAAGTGAATATCTCAGAGCCCAAAACAAAACCCCCCACAAAGTCCAACTTTTAAAAAACCACTAGACAAAATAATAATAACCAACATATCAATGTGATTTAATTACTTAAACCAAAAATATAAGTTCATAGCTTATATTATGATAATGTGTAGACCTAGATAATTAAGCTTTTTCCAATAAAGCTCTGAGTCTAAGTCCCAAAATATATCTATTAGTATAGGTAACTCCTATACTTTTCATAAAATCAAATAATGCTTATATAGCACTGGCAGACAGTTTGCCAAATGAAACTTCTAATACCCATCTGGACTGCCAGTCAACATCTATGTTCTCTCAATGGTAATGTCTAACTGAACTGTTACAGTTAACTAAAGTATGTTTTTACATATAATAAAAGTTACATGAAAAATGTAAAATAAAATATGCAGTATTATTAGGGCTTTACATAATAGTCTAAAATTAATTGTTTTCAATAAACTTTAATAATAAAAGTAAAAACTTGAGCAATGGCATTAACTCTCATTATAAGCATATTTTAAAATGCAAAGAGTAACAAGTACCACAAACACAAAATGCATCCTGGTCTTACTTAGGCTATTCCTAGTCTTTTCCTTTCTTAGATAAAATTCAAGACAAATGTGTTTGTATACTGACTATTCAGATGGTCCTTAATCTTTCATACTAAACTTTCAGAAGTTTATTTATAAGTTAGGCTATACTCAGTAAGACTGTGTTAAAAGCATGTATTTGTAGCACTGTACTCTATCAGTCTCATCCCTTTTCCTTTCTGTAGAATTGAACATGCTAACTAATAAAATATGGCAGTTAGCATAATATATGTTTACTTCTTCAATAAATACAAATGGCACTCGCAGAAGATAATGCTTAACACCACACCAATATTTTTGGGGAGGGAGAGAGTATCAAATTAATGTCCTTCTAATTTGCTTTCAAATGCATTAAAATAACCATATTCTAGTAATAGCCTGTATAAATTGTAAACTAAAATAAATCAAAATATTAAAAAGTCCTGTCACTAAGTTTAAAATGTACAGCACATTTGCTTTGCCCTTGATGTCACAGTCTTATTTTTCAATTCATATCTTGTACACTGTAAGTTAATTGCTTTTGGAAAGTACTTATTATTCATGTAAAAATTAATGTGCCAATGTGTTTAAATCCTCTTAAATGACCATTCATGCATCTTTCTTCTTTAAGTACCAATGAAATCTATCAAAAGACATCAGTGCAAAATGGTCTTAAAGGAAAGTTCTAATAGAGATTTTTTTTTTCTGCTAACACAAGATTTTCATATTCACCAACTTTACTTAAATTCCATTAATTTTTTAAGCTACTTTTAATAAATTCACCAAGTAAAATTTTTAGGCCCCATAGTCTGTCATTTGTGTTCCAGCTGACATTATGAATATTAATAACAGTGTTATCCTGATTAAATAGGCTTCATATGAAATCCCTGTGAATCCTATAGCTCAGACATCTCATTTTTCCAACTCTTTATGAATTTGGATTCAGACATTAAACTGGAAAAAACTTAAAAAACAGATTTAGGGGCACATTTGCATATTCTTAAGCAAAAATTAGATGTTTTAATGATTCAAACAATTAAAACCTACATATCAACATTTAACAAGAATAGAAGATTTCTGTAAACATGTAACATATTTTATACTTATATTCTTTTTAGGACAAAGGATTTAGACTAATAAAATAGTAATTCCTTACCTTACAGATTTGATATCAAGAATTTGTTTTCAGTCAAATTATATATTCACATTAAAACTAATAGAATAATTTTGGAGTAGACAATCAGATAAATTGAGTTTCCTAATCAAAATGCTAACTTACTACATTACAGACAAAATATATAAAAATTGCTTTAGCATTACTAACCTACACAGGTTGAAGAAGCAAAGTAAAATCAATTTCCACAAAAGTTTGTTTATGAGTGGTGCTGGAAAAAAACTGTTTATGTTTTAAAAACTTCTACTATAACCAGCAGAACATACCATATTAGCAGCTGTTAAATTAAAATATCCTCCATCACTGATTTCTAACATCATTCTTCCAAGTTATTTTTAATTCTGAAAATTTTTGTATATAAAATAGAAAATGAATCTTATTATATAGAAAAGAAAAATAAATATTAAGCAAACTGCATACCACCCCCTCTGTAGGTTCACAGAGATCTCAACATAGCTGACAAAGTTTCCTACATTTACCCATCAAAAAAATGTAGATTGAAAAAATTTAAACAAACATCTGTATGCTCACAGATGTGACTTGACTCTCCTGTTTACTCAGCATTAAAACACCTCATGATACAAAATTTGTTCTTTGACCAGTCTGAAATTTCTAATCTGCCTTAAAAATTGTAAGTAATTCTGACATTTACCCTTTAAAATTAAATAATGTCTTTTTGAGAGAGAAGCATTTAAAAATGTGATTTCATTCCCCAATGTAACAACATCCAGGATTTTTTAAAACTCAATTTAAATAGGAGGTGCCCTTTCTTTCTTCCTCCACAAAAGTCACATTCTAGCAAAGGTTTTTGGCTGACTTTGGTTGATGGCATACTTTTATAATTCCTTAGTTTAATCACAAATTTGTATAAATTTAATCTAAGTATCAAACTAGGGAATCATTTATATAATGCATTTTATCCAATTATAACTTTAGAAAACTTCCAAATTTTATATTTTCTAGCTTGAGAAATGTTGATAATTTCTGCACGGAAATAGTTTCAATAAATGACCAAAGGAAAGCACTGTATTTCAGAGTCACATATTTTATCATATAACACAGCATAAGATAAGCACATCTTACTATTATGCAAAAGTCTCTCAAACAGTCCCAGTCCCTGGCAATTCTCTTCCCAAAAGAATTCCTTTCACCCAACGTGCCCATTTTCTACCAAACTTCAGACAACTCAACTTCCTCAGAGCTAGAAAGAGCAAGAGGAGGTTCAGGAAGAAAGGATGAGTAGCCCTGCACCACAGTTATAAAAATTAAAAATGCATACACTATTTGACCCCACAATCCCACTACTAAAAATATTTACAAAAATATGTAAAACATTTTATATGCAAAGATATTCACTGAAGCAGTATTTATTTGTAAGAAAAAATACACTCTAGTCATACTAGAGCTCTTTATGTTTCTCAAACACACCAAGCTTACTCTTGCCTCAGCGCTTTTATACTTGCTGTTCCCTATGCCTAGAATTCTCTTCTCTAGATTTCTAAGACATTTTCCTCATCATTCAGGCTTTGCTCAAAAGTCACTTCTTCAAAAAGGTTTTTTGCCTTCCCATCCTATTTAAAGTAGAAACTTATCTTACCACATTACCTACCTAGGCTACTGTCTTCATGAAACTGATTTGTTTAGATTTTATTTCATTGTTTTTGACATATCTCAGCAATCTATGTAAAAGTTATAGGTAAACAAGGCTTTTATTTTCTCCTCCATCTCGGTATCCTTATTTTATGCCAAATGCATATCCTTATGCATTTGGCATAAAATAAGTACTCAGTATATATTTTTTTCTTTTATTTTTTTTATTTTAAAGATGTGGGGTACAATTCAGAGTTAGATATACAAATGCTCATTATGCAGGTAGCCTTGTTGATGAGGCATGTCCCTTCTCCCCCAGCAGATTCCCATTACTGCCAATCCCGCCTCCCCTCCCCCACCTCCCGCCCCAGCAGTTTCGTGCTACTGCCAATCCTTTTCTTATAGTATCAGTATATATTTGAAGAACAGACAGGTGAAGGGACAGATAACTACCAGGAAACTAGAATTAACATAAATATCCATAAATAGAGAACTGGTAAAAATAAAATGTAGTTCAACCAAATAGCAAGCCCATGTAGTGTATACCACAAATGCTAGAGATCTATATGTACTATGTGTGGAAGATTCTTTCAGAAAATATTTGTTAAGCACCTATATACTATGAGTCACATACTGTTCTAGGAGTCTGATATAAAATAATGAATAAGATAAATACATTTCCTACACAAAAATATTCTTGGTCAAAACAATACAGGCACAAAACATGTATAAATTAAAAACAGGAAAAAAAAGTAAAAGTATACTTACATACACATACTTGAATAGGCACAATATTTTTTTTCTGGAAGTATATATTTGGGGAGACTGAGAAAATGAGGGGAAAAAATTCCTATTTCATTTTATATCTATATGTATAACTTAATTTTTTACTAAATGTATATATTACTTCTAACTTAATATTTAAATATTTATAAATAACTTTGGACTTTAATAGAAAACCTTGAAAGATGTCACATTAAAACTGACAGATCCAAAATGAATAGAAAGGAAGTAATCTTTATGACACCTTGAAATTTAAAAAAATTATTGTATTATTGTTAACCTTTTATTAA